CACTTGGACTAATTAGGCTGTCCCATTTTCATTGTTACTTTTATTTTAAAGTTTATTTAATTTCAAATTGTCAATGTTAAAGATATACATTTATATTTTTAACATTGATAATTTGAGAACTATGTCAGATCAAAACGCTCCACCCTGTATAAATTATTACACTTTGTGTAATAATTATTCTGTTTAATAAATGTGGTCTTTACAATTTTCTTGCAGTAATTTTATAATTTTTCAGGCAATATTTAATTAACTTTCTACATGAAACACTTTTAAACAAAGCAGAGTATCATTTAAATTTCTTTGTGCTGTACCTAGTTTAAATACTAAAAACACGTACCTGCACAAAATACACCACATAAAATAAAACCACATCAAACACAGAACACTTCAAAAACTTTTACCACACATACAATACCAAACGTGAGACAAAAAGAAACAACGTTAAAAACAAAAATAAAAGCGCTAAAACTACGCAAACGACACATCGAAAACCACAAAAACAACTGATTGTTTTGACGGTATTTATTCGAACAGTTGAACATCGGGGGACGAGCGGGGGATGAAAAAGCAAAAACTAGTTGCTAGGCGGCACGCGACACAAAGAGAAGAGTTAAATTTTGTTATATGTATTGCTCGATTATCAAGCTTCGATATATTAAAATTTAAATGAAATAATCATTATAATGAAATTTTGTGTTTGTTAGTGTAGTGTTTTACAGTGGGTATGTTTAGCGAGTTAGTAGCGTGAGTTGCCTATCCTATCAAATGTTAGCAACACAAAGGTGAGATGATTTTTTATGTTAAATAAGACAATAGTACATTATCTAACAGGAGAAGAAAGCGCTTATTTTTTAAATCCTAGCTCAAGGTTCGCTGCCGAGGCTGTAGATCTGAGCGAGGCAGTTAATATGCTTTTTCCGCCGTGTTGTATAAAGGATTTTTTCAGCATTTAATAATTCTGTAATTAGTTACATTCAAATTATCCAGTTTGCAAAGTTTTGTCGGGGTTGACGTTTGACATATGAATCCCCTATTAATTATAGGTTATGTATATGAATTTATTTTACAGTGACCTGTAAGTTTACATTTTCTGTGGTGATTTCGAGCTAAACGCAATATATCGAACTATTCTTTCTATGTTATTTCAATGTATTTTTATTATTGTGCGGCAGTGTATAATACTTTGACTTTAAAACTGCGTACAAATAAAGTCTTTCTATATATAGAGTCTCTCTTTTAACTTGAAACTTAGAAATTTCTCAGTAAATAGGATCATTCGGATCATTCGATTAAAAATAGGTAGATTTTGTCTAAAACATTTTTCATATTTGTAAAAGATGACGCTGTAATAAAAAAATTAATTTTGTTCGATTTCTCCTCTGCATGCAGATGAGTATATATGTAGGTACCTATACTATTCTGCAATTGTTTTTCAATAAAAATATAAAAGTAATATATCACTTTTTCTTTGGAAATAATTATCTTATTAAATAAAATCTGATTTTTTTGATAAAGTTTTTTACTACCCAAGTAGCACAACTGGTTAAATTAACGTTAAATTTACGTTATGTCTGGTTAATTCATTTAAGTTATATTGTACTACAACGTTAAATTAACCTTAAATTAACGGTATTTTGTAATAAGTGGGGAATTCAATTATGGTAAAATTAACGTTATGTTAGTTAAATGTAACTTCTTGGTTAATATACCTTTTGTTTAACAAGAAGTTAATATTTGGTAGTTTTTGGTTTATTTTACCCTTTTTTAACTACTTTTTAACTTTTAAGTTCACTTAAACTATAATGAACTGGTTTAAGTTTATTTCAACTATATAATTATTAAATATGGTTATGTATATCTATATATATGACTAACAGATCCTTAAAATAAAATGTCGCCCATAAATATTAATTTTCATATATGTACATTAAATATGTATATTAATTGATGTCTTAAAGAGAAAGTTCAAAGGGAAAAACCAATTGGGCATTTTTTTTGTTTGATGAAGTAGTACATGATACTTTCATATTTTAAATGCGCTTTGAAAAAAATAAGAAGTAAAGAAAATAAAAATTTAAAAAAAAAATATTTTTTGCCCAATTTTTCTTTATTTTGTTTGAAATTAATTTAAAATACTTTTAAACATAAAATAATATTATGTTTTATTATTGGTTTGTTTAAATTACCTTATTTTTGGAATAAAACAAATTATTAAAATTATTGGCATTTGCTTTTGTTAAAATGGACAGCAAACAATATGGCGATTTTAGTATGCTTTTACTTATTGGTTATAAAACCAATATAAATTAACCTGCAAGTTTATTTAAACCATTTGGTTATTTTATTGTGTTTAATTTAACTACTTTATTTACCTATCGGTAATTTATAACTCTTTGGTTTAGGTTTAAATTTGGTTAATGTAACACATTATAGTTATTAATTACCAAAATTAGTTAAATTTAAATAACTTGTTATTTTTAAAATAACTAACCTAAAAAAATTCACGCCGATCTTACGTTCTGATTTTAGTTGCAGCACTGCTTTATTAAAACGCATCTGTTCTTTGATAAAACCAATAGATGCTTACCAAATTAATTAAATGTGAGGGGATTGTTTTAAGATTTGCAGAAAAATAATGAAGAAAGTCAATATTTTTTTAAATTATTTCTTTTAGGCTCCATTACCACACAAAACTCACAACCTATAGGTTTATATATAAAGCTGTATAAAGACTAATAATTTTTATATGCAGGTAACAATGAGAACTGCAAAACCATCACTTTTTTAAGTTTATTAATTAACGTTAATTTACCAGCAAGTTAATATATTATATTACCAAATATTATTTGGTAAAATATAACTTGTTGGTTAAAAATATATATCCAAATTAACCAATGCTGTGGTTAATTTACCAAAAAGTTATTTCAAAAGTTAAACTAAACCAAAATATGTCTAAAGAAATAACTACTCTTAACTATTTTCAATGGTTAAAATAAGCAGTTAAAATAACAATATCTAACTTCTAAAATAACCTACCTTTTATCTTATAAGTAATATTAACAACTAGTTAAATATTTGGTTTATTTATAGTCAATTTAAACTCTTGAAAAAACTTTAATTTACTTAAAGGTAAATTTAGGTTATTTCAAGAGTTTCAATTGACTATAAATAAACCAAATAATTAACTAGTTAGTAACATTACCAATAGGTTTCTTTTATTAGGTAAATTATACTAAAAAATAACCTTTAAATTTACCTTAAGGTTATAGCAACCGGTTGGTAAATTTAAAGGGTTATTTTTTAGTTCATAGTAACCTTAAAAAAATGTTAATGGTTAAATACAACTAATTGGTTAAAAAGCAAGTTTAAAAAAACGTTATTTTACTTAGATTTTGGTTAATTTACTTAGAATGCTAGTTATTTAACTAGTTGTGCTACTTGGGTAATATCTAAGTTTCCTAAAGTTAAAGTTTTATACATTATTTAATTTAATCAAGATTATTCAGTTTTGCATTTAAAACTCGTGTAATTATCCTCGTGTTGAGGTTAAAAAGAGTTTGGCTCCAAGGCGCAATTGGCTATTTTTTCCTAGGGTGCAAAAAAACCATACACTGTTCAAAATTTCATGACCATTTTAACACCAAATTAACACCACACATGGTCTATATCGATACAAACCAAAATGGTGTTAAATGTGGTCCGTTGGCCCGGTGTTAATTCAAATACTAAAATGGTGTTAATTTAACTTTCACACAGTATTAAAATAAATTTTACCTGGTGTAAATTGAACTCCTTTTCAGTGTTAAATATTATGTGTGTGGTCAAATTAAATCATACTACACAGAAAAAATGAAAAAAAAAAGAAACAGAAAACAAGTTCCTTGACGCATTAATAGTATATTTCCAGTGGTATTATTCCAGAAAATGGAACCTTTAACTCGCTAGAGATAATGTTTTTAGTGCGTTCCACTAACTTAAAATACTTCAAGTATTGACAGCTGTTTCCACCTATTTAAGGTCTCTTTAGTATCGAACAACTTGTAGTGTCACACCAAAACAAAGGATTACCTGGGTTTATATATTCTTCATGTAAGTCAACAGAGGCGAGATTTAAGAACATCATGTGATCCACACCGCCTTTGCCGCGATCGGTACACATTTTTAACCATAATTCATGGTGTTATATTAACACCACTTGGTGTTGGATTTTGACACCATTTTTAGATTACTTTTTACACCACAGATATTTTAAACAGTGTATAACCTTTAGAAACATCTAAAATAAATTAATGGTTTCCCAGCACACTATTCGGTGTTAGGACGGGAAGTACTTAATCGCAATTTTAATGGTCGCTGGATTGGTAGAGCTGGTCCGGTTAGTTGGCCTGCTAGATCACCTGATCTTACTTAGCCGGATTTCTTTTTGTGGGGCTATCTCAAAGACCGTGTGTACCAAGTACCAACAACCCGTGAAAATATGATTGACCGAATTAGAAATGCTTGTGCCGAAATTCCAGCAGATACGCTACTTACTTGTGTAGACTCATTTAAAATACGAATTAATAAGTGCATTGAAATCAAAGGCTGCCATTTTGAGCACACTATAATAAAAATTGTTTTGGGCTAAATTTGTATTATTAATAAGAACAACCAACAACTATTTTAAAGAAAAATTATTGCAGAATCGTATCCAGAAGAAAAATCGAACATTTTTTTATTACAGGTCATCTATTACAAATATAAAAAATGTTTCTGCAATAACAAATAGGGTGTTCCATTGAAAATTTTAAAGTTACCCCTTGACCTCCCTATAAGGATAAAAGTATGGGTAATAATTTATTTCCCCCCTCGATTCATTTAATTTTTTTTTAACATTTTTTCGTAAAATGCCTATTTACTGAGAACTTTTAAAGTTTTAAGTTAAGACTCACCCTGTATAGACTTTATGATATGAAAATTGTTGAAAAAAATACGTTTATTTACAAAGTTTTTATTATTCAGTTCGTCTTTACATCATCATTTAATTATTAAGGCCTAAATGTCGTATTAAAATTTACAAATTAAAGCTACTTATGTAATTTAAATATAATTTATTTATCTTATTTAAATGGTAAAAATAGCATTTTTATTGAAATATAATTTTTATATCACATTAATATTGTTACTATAGTTTTTTTTTAAATGTAATAGGTATTTAACAATTTTTTATATGGGCAGTATTATAATTTTAACTAGATTTAAGTAAATTATTTACAATCCTTATATTACATCTGTCAATTTGACGTGTGTAGACACCAAAAACAATTGCACATTCACTATAGACAGTACCTAAATACATAGAGTGAGCTCTTTTTTAATTATTTTCCACTATAATGGCTGCCGATGTGAGAAGGGGGCCCTCTGTGTTTATTGTAGCCCCTTGAGCCAGGCCTGGAGTGAACTATCGCATAGTGGTCGCTATGTGATGATACAGACCTGTTTGAGTTCATGGTGGACCCTCCTGAGGTGTAGCCTTTTGGGTGTTGAGGGGCTCCGTTCAAGGAGTACCTTAAAAATGTTTATTATTAATGTGTGAGTTATAAAAAACTAAACGCAATTTCTTTAATGGAAAATAAAAATTAAATGCAAATAATATACAGGGTGTTATGTAATTAATGTTATATATTAAAATGGGTTGTTCCTTAGGGTCCATAAAGAAGCACCTGAAACTTTTTTTTTCTAAATTACAAAGTCTAAAAATAATTTATAATAACCTTTATCCTACCAAAAAGTACGCCACTGATCGACTAGGAACTTTAGGTTAATCTGGTGGATTTATTATGTTATGGTTGGTAACAACAGTGTTTCCAAAATCTCTCAAAAAAGTTGACAAACATTGTTTAAATTTAGCTTAATTACAAAAATGACAAAATTAACAATGCAAATTGTCAATTTGGCGTTTTTATTAATTGTTGGTTATGTCATTTTTGTACTGAAGGTAAATTCAAACAAAATCTGCCAACTTTTATGACAGAATCTAGTGCATTTCTTTTAAATTTTAGGTTATGTTTTCAAATTGTAAATATCTTAACTAAGGGAAGTGCTTTTGGATTTATTTACACAAATTAAATGTTTAAAGTTTAACCTGTGAACTGGTCCCAATTTCATCTGAGATACTAAATTTTCTAATCATTGCTTAAGCTAATAGCTGGATCAGTAAATAAATACAGAAGGGTATTAGAGCTTTAAGGGCATAAAACTTTTGTATTTATTGAGTTTTTATTTATTTTTTGCAAGAAAAATTTTTAGTAACAATTTTTTACATCTGGCAACGCATAGCTACTTTGTTGGTTGGTATCTATGTACTCACAAAATACAAGTGTGCAGAGATAAACCAAGTGTGTAACCAGTGGCGTATCACAAAAAATATAAAAAACTTCTAATGCATATTTTTTCTTTATCTTTGGAAAAATGTTTTTTTAAATATTTTTCCTTTATTCCTTATGTCAAAAGGTACCTATTCAGTATTTTAATATATAACATTAATTACATAACACCCTGTATTTTGATTTATCACAAAAAATTATATTCTTTATGCATTATTTGAAAAAAATAATTAAGTGTAGGTAATCTTAAAAACTTGTAAAATGTGTACATTTTAACGTTTTTTTTTTACCTGGATCCGTATTGGCTCCCATGCCAGCTTCGGTAAGGATCGTATTCTTCGATAATGCTCGGTTCTTTCTCGATTATTTCGGTTCTAGCGCATGCACAGGTCATCGCAGAGCAAAGAAAAACGTTGATTATCAACATGATCAAGAAAAGAATACCTAAAGAAACATCAACAGTTAACAATTAATTGACCTAAACTACGGTCTTATATAAGACATATAAGACATAAGATCTAATTGGTTTTTGACACATTTGATATCATCCAAAAAATAAACTTACCTAGGGCAACGCAAAGCCACAGCAACCACGATGGATGTACGGCACCATCGTCACAGAGCTCTTGGACCAATGGGGCTTCACCAGGGTCTACTACGAATACGCTGGTTGCTGCCATCAGAACACCTTCGTCGGTCGCCAAAGCTCTACCTGTGGCCTCACCATTGCAACTTGGTTGGGGACAAGAGCCTTTGCAAAGTCCAATATCACACTAAAATAAACAGACAATGTTTAATAGATTTTAGAATGTAATAATAAAAATAGTACTGTGGTTGCTCTGAGGTTGTGACTATTGGGCAACTCAAAAACACTCCTATAGCCACCTGCCGGAAAAATGTAAATTGCGTAGCAATGATTCTGATTATGGGGAGTGATTTTCATTAAAATGTCGAATTTTTTAGAGAAATACAATTAAAAATCCCAAAGGTATTGGAATTTCTTCGAATGCTTATAACATTTTTATATGGGACACGAATTTATGGAACGCCGTTGTATTTTTAAGTCTACTATTTTAAATGTTAGTTTAAAATGTAATTCCACGTCATGATAACATCGAAATACCGAGTAAAAAATATTTCGGCGTTCCAGCTATGGAACGCCGAAATATTTTTTACTTAGATTGATATTTTTAATTCCTTAAATTTAAAATGTTATCTAGTCTTGAAAATAAGGATTTATAAAGACCGGTTAATACGTTTTATTTAGTTACAATTAAAATTATCATGGTAACATTTTAAATTTTATAAATAAAAACGTTTGTTTAATTTTTTCTTACTTTGATATTTGTAATTCAATTCATTTTAAACGTCATCTAATACCTGTAATTCGACATGAATTAAAAATATCATAACCACATTTTAATTGCTTTGAATTAAAAATATGCTTTGCATTTTTTTGTCATTTGAACATTTTAATTCATTTTATTTTAGAGGTTAATGTGATTTTTATAATTCTACCCCAATTAAAAATATCACAGTAACATTTTAAATTCAATCAAATAAAAACGTTTGTTGAATTGTTCTGTCACTTTGATATTTTTAATTCGAATTTTTCTGTCTAGTTGATATTTTTAATTCGAATTTTTCTGTCTACTTGATATTTTTAATTTGAATTTTAATGTCTAGTTAATATTTTTTTAATTCGAATTTTTCTGTCTAGTTGATATTTTTAATTCGAATTTTTCTGTCTAGTTGATCATTTTAATTCGAATTTTCCTGTCTAATCGATATTTTTTTAATTCCAATTTTTCTGTCTAGTTAATATTTTTAATTTGAATTTTTCTGACTAGTTGATCATTTAAATTCGAATTTATCCGTCCAGTCAATCATTTTAATTCGAATTTTTCTGTCTAGTCAATCATTTTAATTCAATTGTTTGGACACTCTGCACCTAGATGGCGATTGAGTGAAAATAGAGATGTGTCATTCGCGACTGGTTCTATCATTTGAAGTGCACTTTCGATACAAGGAGATGTAATCTCTTTGGTTTCGATATACATATTTATTATTATGTTATATATTATTATGAAATTAAAAATAGACGCATTAATTTTTAACACTTGTATTTTGTAGTTTAATGGGCAGGTTATTTCAATGCATTTGCAATGCATAGATAGTTCCATCTTAGGTAGTTCTTTTGTATCACGCGCGTACTGTCATTTTTTTCTTCGAACAAAAATTCAGAAATATACGAACATTTGCAATGTTAAAACGTACGTTAAAACGATAGGTACATTCGATACTTGAAATAATATAATCATTCGCAATTGACTGACACATCTCTATTTCCACTGCGCCATCTAGCCGAAGTTAGTAGAGGTGTCCACACTTGGAATTAAAATGATTGACTAGACAGAAAAATTCGAATTAAAATGATTGACTAGACAGAAAAATTCGAATTAAAATGATTGACTAGACAGAAAAATTCGAATTAAAAATATCAACTAGGCAGACAAATTCAAATTAAAAATATCAACTAGACAGAAAAATTCGAATTAAAAATATCAAATAGACAGAAAAATTCGAATAAAAAAATATCAACTAGACAGAAAAATTCGAATTAAAATGAATGACTGGACAGAAAAATTCGAATTAAAATGATTGACTAGACAGAAAAATTCGAATTAAAAATATCAACTACACAGAAAAATTCGAATTAAAAAAATCAACTAGACAGAAAAATTCAAATTAAAAATATCAAAGGGACAGAAAAATTTAACAAACGTTTTTATTTCATTGAATTTAAAATGTTACTGTGATATTTTTAATTGGGGTAGAATTATAAAAATCACATTAACCTCTAAAATAAAATGAATTAATATGTTCAAATGACAAAAAAATGCAAAGCATATTTTTAATTTAATACAATTAAAATATCGTTATGATATTTTTAATTCATGTCGAATTACAGGTATTAGATGACGTTTAAAATGAATTGAATTAAAATGAATACTTGACGAAAAAATATTTAGATTTTTTGAATTGATTTGATTTAAAATGAGTACTTAATGCTTTTTATTTGATTTTATACACTGTAAAAAAGGATTTCTTCAGCCAAGTTAAATTAACTTCATTCAAGATACTAAATGATTCCTATCTCTTCGAAACAATATTTTCTTGCCAGCAGTAAAAATTATTCTTGTGTTACATGTTTTCCTCGGAGAATATATTTTCTCCTTTTTAAGAACATAAGCAGTCTTAAACGAATGATAAAAACTCTTGTTATTAAAATTGTCGCATTTTGGGTCGAGAATAAATATTCTTGAATAAAAAATAAAATTACTTGAGGAAAAAAAACAAAAATAATTGAGTTTTGGTGGAGTAGTAATTATTCTTCATTCAAGACATTATTCTTCGCATTAATCAAAGGAATTCTTCAATGAAACCGTTCTTTTCTCTATAGAAAGATTTTGTGTCTTGCGTTAATAAAATGTATTCTTGGTTAAAGATAATATTTTTTTCATATAAGACGAGTACTTCTTCAAACAAGTATTTGAAATTTTCTTCAGTATAGTTAAAATTTAAGCTACATTCGGGATTTTTAAGAAGCAGAGGGGGGGTAAACAATTTTGAACTTTTTTGACACAAATATTTATTTACAAATAAATAAAAATGTACATGGTGTCAAAAAAAGTTAAAAAAAAATGGTTTACCCCTACTTTCTGGAGTATTCCATTCAGTCAATAATGACCTAATGTCTACGGCACTGTAATCGTTCGAATAATCACTCATTTTTAAACATTTAAGTAAACACAAGCACGGTTACTTTTCAAATGAGGGTGTAGGACCTATTATTCTCGGTGTAGGACGTATGAAACAAGTTTATTCCCTCCCCAACGGACAGCTCGTAAATACAAGAAATTATCTTATAATTATTCTTGAAACGAAAAGTCAAACGATCAGATTTTCTTAATACAAGAACAATAAATTTTAATATTCTTCAAGTAAAATTTACAAGCCCTGATTCTCTTGTCCCAAGAAAAGGGTAATTTTTAGAAAATAAGAAATATTTTACTTGATTTAACGCAATGCGTTTCTTCAATGAAGAAAAATTCTTGAACCAAGAGTTTTTTTCAAGAAATATATTTACTATTTAAAAGAAATTGAACATTCTTGTAACAAAACATTCGTCTTAAATCAAATCAAATTAACTCTATTCAAATAAATATTTTTAAGAAAAATAAAATTCTATATCTAAGAAATCCTTTTTATCCGTGTATGTCTTGCAGACATATAAATTTCGCGATTAAAAAATGCAACGGCGTTCCATACGAATTCGCGATATAATAAATACATATGTCTGAAGATTAGTGGCGTAGCTACAACATTTTTCGCCAAAGGCTTAGTTTAATTGACGCTTGAATCACCCGGAAATGCAAATTTATTAGTCGCCATTTACAAAATTAACGAACTTTTACAAAATCATCAAACATGAAGACCACGATTCGAAGTCTTTGTTATTTACTTTTCCGATTAAAAATTTTTAAAATTTTCTTAATTTACAATATTTAGGGAGAAAGCCAAGTTTCTGGACAATCACTGCAAATTGTCTATTTATTATTTAAAATTACTACAAAAAGATCTTTAAATCATTCCCGATTTTTCATCAAAATATAACTCGAAAAATTACACGAAATTGCCGAATAATCCTTATAAGTCTTCTCGTCTACTACACAACAAATTATAAGCTATAGCTATGCTGAACGCGTTTTTGAAAGATCCTCAATTCGACCGATCAAAATTTTTCTTGCGAACAGCAAAGAAAACATTTATTCTAAATCTACTTAATTCTCGTGTAAAAGACCAAATGTAAAAAATGTTCAAGACCATTTGAGGAGGTGCATTCCAAAACTCGACTCATCCAAGGATATGCATATTAGGTGATTTTGAGCAAAATGTAAAAACCTTACACGTATATACTAACGCATATCAGGCCAACAGAAAACTTTTTAAAACGAAATATATAGGCATAAGTATTGACATGACAAGATATAATCAATAGATAAGGCAAGTCAAGTCAATTTGTAAATGAATTTTAAATGTAATAAGGTGAGTTTTAGAATATTAGGACCTTTGCAGGGTATAGGCGGCTACATGTTAAATGTACAGACCCCACTAACTCATTTTTGTTAAAAAGTGGATAAGCCGAGTTTTGGAATGGACCTCCTCATTTAGCATATTTAAAAAGAGTAGCCTTTGAAAGAAGTAATCGTCAGCTTTTGATGTTGATATTCCTGGTGTATGAAACAGGGTTTGTAATGCATTTACTCAGTACAATTAAAGTAGGTACCAAGAGCTATTGTTTTGGTTGAAGATGGGCGATCCATTCGTTATCTACAGACTTTGAAATTTTTAGCAAACAACAGGTAGTGCCATTGCTTTGAGGGCACGTGGACCTGTGCGAGTAGGTATCTCGGCTAACTAGTTCATAAAATTGCTAGTCCAGCGTTTGCAAGTAAATTTGTTCAGTGGAAACTGGAGATCAGTCAGCGACTTATCAGTAGCGGTTCACTTTAACTGGTTGCGCTGGCCGTGTAAGATTCTTCTGACGTCCTAGTAATCTGTAAAGGTTTGAGGTGGCATAAGCATGGATGTCTGTACCGACTTCGTAGTTGTTCTTCAACGCCTAAATGCAGGGATATATGTAAATACCAACCTGCAATAGCATGTTTTAAGATTTACCAAAAACTTTTGGTGATGGATTCCCGCTACAACAAGTTGTGTAGTAGCCGGCTATAAGCCCCGATCTTAACCCGATAGGGCACGCATGCGACTGTTGCGCATATAACTCTTCAGCAAGTGTCAGTGGCTCTTCTGAAAGACCTCATTAATTTCAAAAAAATCTCATTCGAAGCCGTAACCGATGCCAATGGAGGCCAAAAGCGCTATTGGTGCTTTTTTCTAATAATGGAAGTAATCACTACATATATTGATTGTGACTTTACATTTAGTCTTCTTTATAAGAACTGAGTAGATTTAAAATAAATGTTTCGTTTGCTGAATGAAGAAGAATGTTTAATGAATAAATCCCCACAAGAAAAATTGTTATAAAAAAAAAGTATCTTTCAGAAACGCGTTTGGGCAGTGTATATTTAAATCGATTAGCTGCAGTCGGCAGCGAATAAAACTTCTGCCGAATATGCCGACTAGTAAATTCACAATCGTATCCGTAACAATTTTTAACAAAACGATGTTTTCCCTTTATTGGAAATATCGGTATATATTGTCTCCTGAGAAGTTTTAGGGTGTGACACCTAGTGTGACAGTAAATGACCAAGGAGAGGATTCATTCCGTGCTCCCGTTTTTCTCGATGTATAATCGCCTATTCCGCGAAAATTTTAAATTTTATTTGTTTAGTTTACTTATCATAATTAAAGGGGCAAGTGGATGAAGGTTAAGTAACATTTTTAACGAAAAATATTGTCACATATAAGATATTGTAATGGTTTAGTACTTTAATACGTTTTACAAATTTATTTTAAAGTAAAATTTCTATTTTTAAAGTGTGGTGTTAAAGGCAAAACGATGTAAAAGGGACACTTAGGTAAAGAAATTCCAAGTTTTTCAAACTTTGCCTAAAAATCTGGTGTCCAGATGATGCAAGGAACGAGAGTCCAGGTATACGACGCGAGTATAGGGAAGCAAAAAAAAGTAGTTTTTGAAAATGTTATCGAACGCATCGCTTCTTAGGTATAATTTTTTTCTAAAACGAAATTCATTGTAAAGTTATATTTAAATAATTGTTACAAGTGTTTGTGTATTCCCCAAGGTTAGTTTTTAATTTTAGTAGACCAAATTATGAAGTAAAGTCCACTAAACGAACAACGATTCAGATTTAAGTTAATTGATCATTAGTTATTTTACGTTTAGCGAATTTTACTCGATATTAATACTTTTTCTTTTAGCTATTTTTTCCAAAATGTTCTTGGCTTTTAAGATTACTTTTTAATGTACAAATTTCGATTCCATTATTTAAAACAAATATCGGTGTGATACGGGACGTTTCGTTGCTTAAAACGGAGTACTGACCGTTAATTTTAAACTTTAAATGCTTCTTTTTCTTTTAGAGCACGTGCCTTGTAGTAGATATTAAAATGCTCCATACCGTGAGGGATAAAGGTTACCTAGATTCTCTAGTCGACATCTCAACTTTTATCCCGACCGTTCATCTTTGGGCGGGATATCTTCAGTGTGGACCTGGCAACGTTAACGTGAAAAGACTAATAGTTAGCTGTCCTGTTCACTAACAACTTTTTTCCTATTTTTGAACCTTTGGGGTTTAATAAAGTAACGAGCGTCGCGTTATCACATTAAACTTTTAAAAGAAACAATGCCCAATCTTGTTATCCTTTGCTACTTCATAGCCGAACGGGTTTTTACCTCTTTTTCCCTGGTAGTATATTCCTGCTTGTTGTAAAACGTTTATAAAGTAAATTAAATTGGGGTAAACTAAACACTGTATTTTATTTTTTGTATCCACTTGTTGTAACCTGATGTAAGAGGAAATCTTTACAATAAATGTTATGTAAAATCCAAAATTTATAGGTTAGTCCCTTCCCTTTTAGTTTTCGTTGCCGTCCAGTTTCCATTTTAGACCCATTCATATTAGTAAATAATAAAAAGTAAAAATTTCAAAAATAAACATTTCAACACTTCAGATGTTTAGTTATACAAAAAAATGGTTTTGTAATTGTTAAACCACCTGTATAGGACAAACTATTTTTCTTGATTTATTGGATCACTTTCGCTTCCTGAAGACAGACCACATACTGCGCTGGCCTTCACGTACTATTCAATTAGCAAATATGCAAATTATGTAGTTCAAACTAGTTTTTTGATTGTTATCTTTCAAACTATAGCATACAATTTCTTTTTTGTTTTGTAATTATTAAAATGTTTGGTTTTTATTACAGTTCAGTCTAATCATCGTGTAAGAACTATGATTTCCTTAAAAAAAATGCTTGAGGGAAATTAGTCGATTTTTTTAACGTGTTGATCAAGAAACAAGAAATATCTTTAAACAAATATTGCTGCAAATGTGCCTATTAACAGTTTTCATAATAATCATTTTTAAAAAATCGCTTTTATTTATAGACTTCGCCACTAAGGTTTTATTTAGATTTTCTATTTAATGCAAAATGAAATAAAATGTAATGTAATTTTAGGTTAAATAAGTTTTGTTAAGTAGAATTGATTTTTACCTGTAAATGAACTTCCGAACTTTCCGGGAATCTAAACATCGATCGGAGCTGGGCATCCGCAGTTCCCTTGGATTCATCGTACACGAAATTGCTAATGACATCTTGATTTACTGGACAGCCTAGAAGGAGACAAAAAGAGGCAATTAGAAATAAATATCCACTAATGAAATTTTGAAAATAATGACAAAACTAATGATATATAGAATGAGGAAGGTTGTAGGAGGTCACCCTTATTAATTAAAATGCACAGATAATCCAAAAACACAAAAAAGAAAAAACTGCTAACAAATAATGAAACCGAAGATAATAGGTGATTACGAAATATCAAAAGTAAAAGAGTTTTGTTATGTACAAAAGCATATAGCAAGGAGACTTTTTATAGCACGGTATTTTAAAATGCTAAATAAAATATGGTTTTCATCAATCCTATCTAGAAAAAACAGGATTAGAATATTTATATTAAATGTAAAAAGCATTTTAATGTACGTACGTACACAAGAAAAATGGAAACCTTTATTTAGAAATGTGTGAGAATTATATGCCGCATTTTCTGGCGCAACACAATATCAAACGAAGAACTACACAGAATTATAAAAAAAGTAGAAAAAACAATTAGGAAAAGTATATGAACACACAATAAGGAAAAATATCAAAAGCATAGCACTATACGATAATAGGAAAGACGAATAGGCAGACCTAATAACACATGGAGAACAGTTAATACAGAAAAACTTCAAAGAAAAGGTGGATAGAAGCAAAGAACATGGCAACGGACAGACAAAAATGGAAAGAGTAAGTAGAACTAGCTATTCTATCGTATTTTTTGCCTTAAGCTTCAGATAAAACCTTAACAGGTAAACTTTTCTTTCTAACAAGTTATAGGAACAAGAAGAAAGAGAATGAAAAAAACTATGTAATTTGCCATATCATTTCCCAATAAATTTTAATGGGGTTTTCAGTAATTCAACTAAGATAAATGTTTTTTCAAACCGATAAAATCCAATCCAAAAAATGATGTATGTAGGTGTCAGTTTGATCAATTTTTATGGTATACCATACAGGGTGTTATGTAATTAATGTTATATATTAAAATGGGTTGTTCCTTAGGGTCCATAAAGAAGCACCTGAAACTTTTTTTTTCTAAATTCCAAAGTCTAAAAATAATTTATAATAACCTTTATCCTACCAAAAAGTACGCCACTGATCGACTAGGAACTTTAGGTTAATGTGGTGGATTTATTATGTTATGTTTGGTAACATCGTTTCCAAAATCTCTCAAAAAAGTTGACAAACATTGTTTAAATTTAGCTTAATTACAAAAATGACAAAATTAACAATGCACATTGTCAATTTGGCGTTTTTATTAATTGTTGGTTATTTTATTTTTGTACTGAAGGTAAATTCAAACAAAATCTGCCAACTTTTATGACAGAATGCATTTGCATTTCTTTTAAATTTTAGGTTATGTTTTCAAATTGTAAATATCTTAACTAAGGGAAGTGCTTTTGGATTTATTTACACAAATTAAATATTTAAAGTTTAACCTGTGAACTGGTCCCAATTTCATCTGAGTAAACAGAGAAAAAAATTGATGAAATAATTAATTTTGTGGTTATAACATAAATGTATTTCAAATTTCAAAGGTACTAAATTTTCTAATCATTGCTTAAGCTAATAGCTGGATCAGTAAATAAATACAGAAGGGTATTAGAGCTTTAAGGGCATAAAACTTTTGTATTTATTGAGTTTTTATTTATTTTTTGCAAGAAAAATTTTTAGTAACAATTTTTTACATCTGGCAACGCATAGCTACTTTGTTGGTTGGTATGTATGTACTCACAAAATACAGGTGTGCAGAGATAAACAAGTGTGTAACCAGTGGCGTATCACAAAAAATATAAAAAACTTCTAATGCATATTTTTTCTTTATCTTTGGAAAAATGTTTTTTTAAATATTTTTCTTTTATTCCTTATGTCAAAAGGTATTCAGTATTTTAATATATAACATTAATTACATAACACATAACACAAGAATTCTTTTTAAATAAATACAATATTAAAAAAATATTGAAAATAGAGTTTTAAAATTATTTAAGGAGGTTTTAGCAGTATATTGCGTGGTAAGGGGACCAACTTGCAAAAACAAAATTTACTTTGTCATTTTATTACATTTGATTTTAAAAAACATCCAATTTTCTAACTGATTTTATAATTATTTTATATTTTAATACAAAAGGCACCACATACATACATACGAGCCCTAACCACATAATGTTCGGACACTTCATAATTTATACAGAAATTTTTTTCGTGAATACTATCTCAAAATTATTAGAAGTTATGAAAAATTCAGCTTATTTTGGCATATACCCCTCGAAGCGATTTTTATTTTTAAAAAGTTTACCTTTTATTTTTAGCTTTTAAAAAAAGGCTAACTTTTTAACTTTTTTTTGTATGAGTAAAAAAAGTTATAAATGGACCCATTAAAAAGAGCATAAAATATTATACAAACCCTGAAAATTTGGTAAAAAATAAATAAGTTATAAAAAAGTATAAGTAATTTAAAAATGCTATTTTTAAAGAGTTTTTGCAATTTTCTTAGGAAACGGGAGATTTTGCAGATATATATATCGCTATAACTTTCTTATTATTTATACAATTTTTACCAAATTTTCAGGGTTTGTATAATATTTTATGTTCTTTTTAATGGGCCCATTTATAACTTTTTTTACTCATGCAAAAAAAAGTTAAAAAGTTAGCCTTTTTTTAAAAGCTAAAAATAAAAGGTAAACTTTTTAAAAATAAAAATCGCTTCGAGGGGTATATGCCAAAATAAGCTGAATTTTTCATAACTTCTAATAATTTTGAGATAGTATTCACGAAAAAAATTTCTGTATAAATTATGAAGTGTCCGAACATTATGTGGTTAGGGCTCGTATATATTGTAACACAAAAATATAAAAACGTAAAAACTAGAATTTAAACGCTACAACATAAGTTGTTGATAGTTGGTTTCTATGGGAACGCTTATCGCTTTTGACATTCGCTATTTGCAGTGTTATTTAAAATCTTTAAATGAGTTGTGAAAACGATTTATTATGTTCTATAAAATGAATGAATTCCACTACAAAAAATATTTAAAAAATGTATGGGGATTAAAAATAAAGAAACAGAAAACATGCAGTATGTTAAATGCAGCGAAAGTCTCAAGCAAAGAGCAGCAAACAAAGATAAGAAAACTATAGAAGGTAGAAGGATTGTTAAATTATTAAAAAAACTTATAATAAATAACAATACAATTGTGTTTCTTTAAGGGTTAACCCTTAAAGCCTGAATTATAGATTGCCTTCCTTCAGGGCTCCCAGCAGGTAGTTTTTTTAAAGACTTGTCTATATTTTTGTCTTAAGTCTATAAAAGTCTATTTTTTTACCTAAAGTCTATAAAGTCTATATTTTCTGTTAAAATCAACTATTAAAAAATATTTTTTTAAATATAAATATTTACAGTTTTATAAATATCGAAACCATAGTAAACCAAGTGAAACATTCGAAAACTTGTCAGTTTACATTTAAAGTTCCCGCCGTCCAGACCCGAACCGCCCGCCAAAATTATTGCTGAATTGTTTCTGGTTTGGTCTAGGGTTTCGTTTACGTTTATAGTTTCGGTTCGCTAGATTAACACTACCTATATATGCATTTTTCATGAAATTAGTAAGTACCTAGTATCTATCAAAGAACATGTGACAAAGAATGTTTTATCATCCATTCCATAACCCTAAAAAAATATGTTCAGACGATAGCAAAGGTAAGTGTATAACCATTGAGTAAGGAAGTTCCCACATTGAGTAAGGAAGTTCCCACTTCCTTACTCAATGGTATAACTATAGTTTTGATTAGGTATTAAAAATTATACATTTATATTATTTAATAAAAACAAAGTTAAGCAAAGGTAAGTGCATGCACATGTGTAACTATAGTTTTGATTACCTATTAAAAATTATACATTTATATTATTTAATGAAAACAAAGTTTAAATGTACTTGTACTGACATAAAAAAAATTAAATTGAACGATTAAGGAAGGGTGCAGAAAATAAAAAAAATGACTAAAATATGTATGGCTCAACTAATGTTTGAAGGAGTGAACCATCCCAAAAAAGAAGCGGGGAAGGTAACTTACAAGATTAGTCGTCTTGCCCAAGATTTAGAAAAACGAAAGGCGAAAATTATAGATCAGCTGCAGCCCACCAAAAAAAATGTGCCTTTTATATAAATGTGATTTTGTTATTTATGTATTTTATAACAGTTATGGTTACTTGTTAAATTTAATTCAATAAAAATTTATAATTTCAAGTTTTCTCTATGTATTTTAAATTCAAATTTAGATCTTTTATCCCAAAAAATGTATACCTCCATTTTATAGTTATTTCGGTAATTAATTTGGTCTATATTTGGTCGTTTATTTTTTATTATTAGTCTCTTAAGTCCAGCGCCGGATTATAAAAATTTGCGCCCCGGGTCTAATAAAAATTTTCCGCCCCTACCTATAATAAATTCAAAGAAATGTCACTTCTTAACAAAAGGATTTTATTTAACCATAAACATTAGGGTTGTAGTATTTTTTCGAAATTGTTTTGATTTTGGAGATCAAATAAAAAAAATAAGTCTAAAGTATTTGAGTTTCAACAGTACCATGTGCATGACTTGCGATGTGCATAAATCATTTTCATAGTTTGTTACTAGTGAAGTATTATCATAGGTTATGTCTACAAATATTAAATTAAATAATAATTATTATATAATTATTATCGTTCTTTTATTTTACGTATTTTAGGTAGTACCTAAACTTATTCTAATCAATGTACCTATACCCATACATACCCAGAGACACACCGGTGTTTTCATCGCTTCATTTTGCTTTAGAAAAATAACTATCCAATTTAAAAGTTTTTTGCAATACAGTATCTTGCTTTTCAGATTTACGTTTTCTAGCCTGTCTTCCTTGAAAACCACTCAATTTCTTAGGTAAACTCCTGTTAACTAATTAGTGCACTAGTTTAATACAACAGTCTGGAAAAACATTAAAAAGAAAAACAGCGCATGTCATTTTTACCTATTTTTACTGGTGCCGCCATTTGTTATTAAAATTATGAATGTCAGTTATAAACTGTATTAAAGCTAGAAATCTAACAATCTATTGTTAAATAAAATAATAATTATCCAAGGGTTTAATTAATCAGTTTATGTTTAATTGGCTAATACCTATAATGTATATATACATACATATATATATGACTGGTACTGTATATAACTATAGTTTTAAACTAATTTAAATTAATAGTTGTTCGTAGTGTAATAAAATATTCTTATATTAAAAAACCTTTACGCCCATACGCATCGCATCGGTGGAAATAATCAATTTCGGCAAACTAAAGTTCTTGTCGCCCAACAACTTGTCGGGCGCCCTACGTAATACGTGACATGACATATTTCGTATACTATGCATAGATAATAATACTATGGCAACAATCACGGTTATAATTTAAATAATTTTTTTATTAAAACTGCAGATTAATACACGAAAAATAAAAAAAGGGAAAAACCCTTTAGGTTGTAGTAAAAAAAAAATTACCAGTCAAAAATTTTGCGCCCCCTGTAAGCTTGCGCCCCGGGTCTATAGACCCCCAAAGACCCCCCCTAAATCCGGTGCTGCTTAAGTCACTATTTCTCGCAACATGGACTGCTGGGAAGGCTTCCTTAGTTAGGCGCGGGTTAGGTTTATCCCTAGATAATTACGTGTTCGTAAACCAGTGTTGCCGGATTTTCTGTACGAGAATGACACATTGATAATGTTGGTTGGACACAGTTAACATTATCGTTTATTATTGCAAAACTGTGCATATCTTATAACATTGACAACAAGAAATCGATGATTTTTTTCTCGTATTCACTAATACCTGTAGAATTGGTATATAAATTTTTGTTAATATTCACAACACAGTTTAGCAATAATAAACGATGAAATCCCTTTCTAAAACTTTGTAAACTTTGTAAAAAACCCTACTACAACCTAAAACTTTTTCAACATTTTCTCATAGCTAACAGTAAGGGTGTCAATCCCGGGATCCCGAAATCCCGGGATCCCGTAAAAAATCCGATCCCGAAAATCCCGGGATTAAAAGTCCCAATCCCGGGATCTTAGTAATAAGTTACAAAGAATAAAATAGACTTTTTTTTAAGCGTATGATATTTTTCATATTATAATACTCATAAGCATATATATATATATAAACACTTCATTTTTTTACTCAGCAAGTCAAATTGTTATACACCGCCGTACAATAATGAAAATACATTGAAATTACATAGCAAGAGTGGTTCCATCTATAGCATAAAATCAGCAAAAAAAATGTAAAATTACAGGTCACTGTAGAATAAATTTATGTACATAACCTATTATATAACATATTTCAAACGTCAAACCTGAAAAAATTTCATAAACTTGATAATTTCAATGTAAGTTACAGCCCCAATTGGAACTCACCAAGGCCCGATTGATAAAAGAAATGGAATTATTTGTTAATGTGGGTAAACGTGGGTACAATGTGCCTACGAATTCTTAAAAACCATTCTTCCGACTAGTGTGAAGTCCGAAACATATCGTTCGTTAGTCTCTTTGTTGTTTTAAAATTAATGATATATATTTTTTCGGGACTGATCCCGGGATCCCGGGATTAGTTACCTTTGGTCCCGAAAGACCCGGGATTGGAAAATGGGCTCGGGATTGACACCCCTAGCTAACAGTATCGTGCGCGAACCTCCTCAATACTTATAAAAAGTAAATGTTTTACCAAAAAAAATCACCACATAAAGAGTCAAACGGAAATAGGTTCAAGGTATCAAACGTTTGCATCAAATGCAAACATTTTTTTTCACGATAACTATGTAAAAGTCACATTTCGTAATGGCACCTTTGCTTAGAAAATGAATATTTTCATTGGCAAGGCAAAACTCTAATGTAAAGTGACATTACTGTGTGAACAAAAAAAGTTTATATACAAAAGTTCTCTTTTAGTTCAACCCTTACTTCCTAAGAAGTCCCAGAAGCCAACTGAATGGCTTGAGCGGGTTAAGGGTAGGAACGGACCGCGGGCTTAAAGTCCCCTCCGAAGGACTAATGAAGAAATTAATTATTTTGTTTTGTATTTAAAAATAATAATAAAATAAAAGGGTCGTAGAAAAAACATTGTATTTCACTTGTGAGAAAAGATTTCTTCAAGCTCATGTTAATGCACACTCGGCCTAACGGCCTCGTGAGCAACTTAAACACTCGCATGAAAAAATCGCTTTTCAACAATTGCAAAACAAATAACTATTAGACTTTAAGGGTAAGTAGTGGATGCTATGCTGTGCCTATTGAGTAATTTAAGTTAATTTTCATATAGGTATCATATATTTTTCAAGCACATTTAGTGCGGTCACGTAAGCTGTCTAACAATAAGAGAGGCGCGACTCGGCTTTTGTCGCCCTCTAGGACTGTACTATGCTCCACACCTCAAAGTCCCACCACGTGACCACGTTCGGAACGCAGTCTTTCGAAAATTTGGCATTTAAGGCTTTTCAGGTTATGTATCTGTAAAGTATAGTCAATGAAAGAAATAATATTTATAGTGTTTTCGCTTATGTTTAAGTGTTAAATAAATCTTTATAGTATCACAATAACAATGGTTGGTTTAAGAATTTAGGAATATAAATACTGCATTTAATGAAATTCCAAAGTGTAAGGTGCAATATAAGTGATATTTTTGTGCATTGGGTCTACATTTCTCCATAAAATAGTTTTAACTAAACAGCATTTATTAAAAAAATCTAACTTCTCTATTATGAAATAAGAATATCTGTATCAAAGGTAGGTTAATGTATTAGAACAAAAAATATCATCTAATTTTGTATTTTAAGGTTAGAAAAATCTATTTTGACCAAAATAAATAAGTGGATTATTTTGAAGAGAGTGTCAATATGGTCATAAATAAATATAGGTATACTAAATAATTGTTGAATATGGTTCAAATTAAATTGAAGCTTTTATAATTCTAATGATAAAACTTGTGCATACCTCTCGGCATACCTACTTTAAGTAATATTATAAGAAAACAAACAATTTTTAGAGAAACTTGCAATGTGAAAATATTTAATACTCCCATGACATGTGATTAATTAAAATTTTTAAAGTTATAATGAGTTTTCGATGTAGATCAAATTCAGTCGAAGCTTTTTAACTATTTGTATTGACAAAACTTTATGTAGGTACACTTTAAGCTAGATAAGAAAAACTACCACATTTTTAAATACCATATTATAGACTTTTAAATAATCCAAAATACTTATTTATTTTGGTCAAAATAAATTTATCTAACCTTAAAATTACAAAATTAGATGATATTTTTAGAGAAGCTAATTTTTTTTTAATAAATGCTGTTTAGTTAAAATTATTTTATGGAGAAACCAGATATTTGGACCAATTGCACAAAAATATTACATATTTGGCACCATGTATACTTTAGAATTTCATTAAATGCAGTATTTATATTCTTAAATTCTTAAACCATCCATTGTTATTGTAATGTTATAAAGATTTATACATTTTTAACGCCTTAACATAATATTATTTCTTTCGTTGACTATACTTTGATAGATACATAACCTGAAAAGCCTTAAATGCCAAATTTTCAAAAGACTGCGTTCCGTACGTGGTCACGTGGTGGGACTTTGAGGTGTGGAGCATAGTACAAAAAGTGCTTGAAAAAATTTCATGATTAATATAATTCTTGACTTACCTCTTTCATCCACAAGATTGACACTACTATTCAACTTATTAAACGCAAAGCAGCTCTTCACTCTGAATCCATAAGTCCCATCTGGCCTGGATATTTCCGCTCTTAATGTGTACGGTCTGCTGTAGACGGCCTGCGTAACTTTCCTGGTGCCTTCAATCAGTTTCAGCGAAACCAACGAAGTTTCGTTTTTGGAGTTGCGAAAACCTGCTTTTCCGCACGTGATGACATAGAACTTGTCGTCGGCCAATTCGAGAGTTTTGTGGATACGAACCGCTATCGGGACGCTTCTTTCTTCGGTTTTCTGTAACAAAGTAGGAAAATAAATTAATTCCGATTTATTTTGTAATGGAGTCTTTTAGGCCTATCATGTTGTCCGCAATGAAAGATAATGGCTAGAATCTCACGTGAGGGATAGGGGGGTCTACCACATCTCACCAAATCTCACCAAGGGGGAGGGAGGGGTCCAAATTATCAGAAAAATGCCTCACGTAATTAATGGATGTCCCCTTATAAAAATCAGATTTATTAACATAAGTTTGTAAATTGTTCATTTTATTTTGTAAAAATTTAAAATATTTTTTTTAGAAAACTAGGGTTTGTAATTATTTTAACAAAGGAAAATATTTTACCGAAAGTTTTGTAATGGTAATATGCAATTTTGTAGCATTTTGTTAATTTCAAAGGTTACAGATTATTTTGTTAATGTTTAACAAATTATTTTGTTGATAAAGTACATATGATTTTAGGCACTCAATCATAACATTTCCCACTGACAATACTCTTCAACAAGTTCAACTGACTTCAGCGTCTGCAACTTATGTTTCTGCTTACTTTATTCTAATTCGTAACGTGTTCGTATCAACTGGCCAGAGTGTTTATAATATATTACCATAAATCTGCTATTATAAGGGATGGGATTTTAGTTATTTTTTATTTTTTAACCGATGTAACTATTTAAAAACCAATAATGCCAAAATGTGTTTTAAAAGATTTTCTTTTATATGAACGTAACTTGTTTTCACCTTTTTTACCTTTTTGGAGGTTTTTGCTTTTAACTACCTTTTTTATACTTTTGTTACCTATTTTTTAACTTTTTTTCACCTTTTTTACCTTTTTTGGAGGTTTTTGCTTTAAACTACCTTTTTATACTTTTGTTACATATTTTTTAATTTGTCAGTTTATTTTCACATATTTGTTACCTATTTTTACGTATTTTTACTTATTTTATTTTTTTTGTTCTTTTTAAAATTTGCGCCAATATTTTATCCAGGGCGTGCAACTCAACGGTATAGAATTTTTTCTTATGGTTACAGACTGTAACAGTAACTAAAATGCTGTTTTTTTTAACCTAAAATGCTTTTTTTAGTACCTTTTTAGTTACCTATTTTTCAGTTTTTAGTACCTAAATATCCCATCCCTAGTTATTATTGTTATTCGGATTCCTTATACCTATTTAACGAGTGTGCGAAGTGCAAAGTATCAGAAAGACTAAAATTAGGGTAAACAGTGAAGTGGGTTAAAGTTACGAAATACATCAGTAAGTGTTGACGATGATGATTTCAGAATGGTGTGTTATTTAATTGTGTGTATGTTATTTTTGTGTTCATTTAGGTAGGTATGTGTTAATTTTTTTGTTTAGGAAATTGATTAATAAAGCAACATTTCTTATTAAAATTCTTTTCATCCAAGTTTACAATTTCCAACAAATAATTTTGCTACTGGGTCTACAAAAAGGTTTATAAAAAAGGTCCTTTTTTGAAAATTACAAAAATTATGGTTGAATTATTATCATAGTATTTTGTTATTAAATCTACAAATTGTTTGTTATAATTTTACAAACTACTTCTTCAATTAGTTAACAGTTAATTGGTTGATTGTAAACTAAAGTTTTTAATTTTAATTAAGTCATTTTGTATACAATTATAATTTAAAATGTGACTTGATTTGAATACTTTGAACTATTAGTCTTGAGAATGTTAATAAATTTTCCCGAAATATCTGCTTAATACCTAATTGTGCACTATCCCAAGATTTTCAATTTAGTTACAAAAATTTTTGTGGACTAGACAGAATAATTCCTCCCCATCCATTTTGACGCCCCCTACAATTAATTTGATATTTTCAGTAATTTGTCGTCAGTTTTTTGAAAACCTAATAAAAATACAAAATCGTGACTTAATTTAAAATTTTTCGTCGTCATCATTTTCAGTTATTGAGACGTGCTTCATTAGCACTGTGACTTGTAGCGTCGTGAAAATATTTTAACTGTGTTTTATATAACGTTGTCATATTTTTTAAGGACGCCAAGTTACGGTAAAAAGTTTATACCTCGGTACGTGTATTAAATCGTAGCTCTGCTGGAGACTTGTTATTTCACAGAGACCTTTTGGAGGAGATAAATAGGTATGATATTGTTTGTGTTTAGATTGTTATATTGACATTGAATTTAATTTGTTTTTGTGGTACAATGCCATTACTCTCTGAAACCAAACACCTAGAATGTTCAGTATAATTTCCTGACTGACTAATTGTCTGGTAATGTGCAATTTGTAAGGAATATCAAATATTTGCACTGTGGTTATACGTATAAGACTCGCAAATTAAAATTATAATAAAGGTACAATAAACATTTTTGTTAACATGAGTTTGTAGTTTGTTAATTTTATTTTGTAAAATTTTAACATAATTTTTTGTAGAAAACCAGGGTTTGTAATTATTTTAACAAAGAAAAATATACCGTTTTTTACGTTTTTTTAAGTTTTGTTAAGGTAATATGAAATTTTGTTAATTTTTAACACATTATTTCGCTGAAAAAGTACACGTGCATGATTTCAGGCAGTTAATGATAACATTTTCCACTGACAATACGCATCAACAGCAACGTATGTTTCTGTTTACTTTATTCTTATTCGTAACGTGTTTGTAACTATCCAGAGTGTTTATATTATATTACCAGAAATCTGTTGTTATTATTATAATTCGGATTTCTTATACGTATGTATTTAACAAGTGTGCGAAGTATCCGAAAAAAAGATGCCATCACTGGTTTCAAACTGAAATTAGAGTATACAGGGAAGTGGGTTAAAGTTACGAAATACATTAGTAACTGTTGTACTAACCTACTTATAATTATATTGTACCAAATTTCTTTATAATTTGACGATTTCAGAATGGTGTGTTTTTTAATTGTGTGTATGTTATTTTTGTGTTCATTTATGTAGGTATGTGTTAATTTTTTGTTTAGAGAATTGATTAATAAAGCAACATTTCTAATCAAAATTCTTTTTATGTAAGTTCCGAATTTCCAAAACATACTTTTGTTACTGGGTCTGGATAGGCTTTTAAAGTGTCGGAAAAATTGGAGAAAAAACCTGTTTTTTTTTTCGATTTTTTCCCATGTCTTGGAAAATTGGCTTTTTTAGTAAAAATTGAATTTTTTTTTTAAATACCTATACACATTTGAAAAAAAGTAGCAATCAATAACTTTCTTTATTACAAAAAAAAATTAAATTTAAGAAAATAAACGTAAACGTGAAGTATACTGTCTGTTTTTTGTTGCAAAAAGGAGTCCATTAAAAATATCTAACTACAAAATAATTAATGATTTATAAAGTTAAATTACAAAATTAAAATTTTATAAATCGAAATGTTAAATAAAAGTTATGTTAATATAGCACCTAATAGGTTTTTTTTACGGTCCGGTAGAATATTCTTACTGAATTAAAATAAAAGGAATAATTATTATAATCAGCGTCAGAAATTCACTTTTTTCTGTGAAAATTGGTAAATTTTCAAAAAAAATGGCTTTTGCATTTTTTCGTATTACCCTTTGAATAAAATGTAAAAAATGAAGAAGATTTTTTTTTCAGCCGATTCAATTTTTCCGGAAATTTTAAAACTCTAGGTCTGGAATTATGGTTGAATTATTGACACAGGATTTTGTTATTAAATCTTCAAAATGGTTGTTATAATTACAAACTACTTATTCAATTAGTTAACAGGTTACAGTTGGTTCTAAACTTAACATTAAGTTATGGGGACCTGCTTAGAAAAAGAACAAAAAATCTGGTTAATATTGGGTTAAAATTAACAAATATTTTTTACTGTGTATTCAGAAGCTCATAAACTTACTTACTATAGTAAATGTATACATTGACGCCACAAAGGTAGCAAAAGTGTCCATAAACTAAAACTAACCAACCCATCCCACAAAAACAACCAACCTAACCAATAAGAATGTCCCCGATTGCATATGTACAATATTGATGTGGGTGAGTAAAATCGTCATGGGTGTTGTTATTTATATAGATACATGTTACAAAATCATTTGTTTATTAGTGATTCCAACTAAACTTGGATACTTTGTATCTCATAAACACCATGTCTTACTCATGAGTCTGCAGACGGTCCCAGCACAACACCACCCATTTCATTTCTATTCATAATTTTTATACCTGTCGTAAAATGCAAATCCAGGCCCAGTTATTGTGGTTATGTTCGCAGAACTATCAGGAATGCACGTAAGTATTTCAATGGGCACACGCCCAGCTAAACTCAGCGCTAAGCCGTGCTATTATACGTAGTGCATATGCGCGCAACAATGACTTAATAATACTCTGCTGGCAATGCTAATAAATATTGCGCCATACACGCTCGTTGTCATCAATAATAACAGTTCATTATGGCGACCATCGGGCCCGGATTCTTTGTCAATTACCTGCGGCCCCCGGAATTATTTATGGCTTCAGACTTGCGAGAACGAAACGAACGCTTCAAGGGCCAGTGTTGGGGTGGTCGACCATGGTCCAACAAATGATTTCTATTCTTGTAACGGTGTTATACGTTTTGTTATTCCTCTCGGAAGATACTTTGTTTCTTTGTCTTATTAAATCAACTGTAAGGAAAAGTTTTCCCACTGGTAAAAGTTACGTTACAAGGGCAAGAAGTGTCAGAGGAATTGTCAATGTCCCTGGGCCTAACTGAATACAACATATTACCTTCAAGTTGTATTGTTTTTTAAAATTTAATGCCAATTGTATTTGTTAAACAATACATGAAACATACAATTATTAATTTTGTAGAAAGTGAGGTTGGAACTGACTGACTTGAATTTTATGATTGGTCCAAATCACAGTGAATAATAAAATCGGCTAATCACTGAAGTCTTACAACTAATTACTAGCCCATCAGTGGTGGCTGGTGCTTGTTGAAACTGGGTAGGCCAGCTCAGTGGCGGCTCCACAGTTTGCTTGGGGGGCTTCCTAAGCAGTACCTGACCAGGTGCCACTGTAGCCCATAATG